AGCTCTGTGTCCCCATGGAGATACTGGGAGCTGGACCACCTTGCCATGGTGGAGCTGGCAGCCTCTGGGGGCAGCCCCCAGCCATCCGTCATAGCACGAGGGTGTCCCAGCCCATGGGGTGGCTGTCCCTGTGGGAGGGGTCTTTCCATGCCCTAACACTCCTGTCCCTGGGCAGGCAGAGATCTCCATCATCGCTGGGTACGGCTCCACCAAGGATGTGTCAGTTTACAGCTCGCTGGGCCTCGCGCCGGCACACATCTACATCGTGGGACGGGCCGTCAAGAAGTTCCACAACCAGTGCCAGGTATGATGGTGGCAGGGTTGGGGACAGGCTGGGGACATGGCACAATGGCTGACCCCACCAGCCGGCCGCCGCTGTGGACTCAGGCTGTCCGTGTGTCCCGCAGTTTCTCTCCGAGGGCTATGTCGCCCACCTGGCCCAGCTGGAAGCGGCAGCTCTGGCCCACTCCCCCAAGGGGCCCCCACGACCAGTGCTGGGCAAAGGCACCTACGGCTGCCCAGCGCCCGTTGACTTCCTCCGGAAGCAGAGCCAGCTGCTGCGCTCCCGGGGCTCCAGCCAGGCAGAGCGGGATGGGGGGCCCCCCTCAGCGCCCCCCGGCTTGTCCCGGGCCAAGCCCCGCAGTGTCAGCCTCAAGCTGGAGGGTGAGGAGTGAGGGTGGCATGGCCACGTCCCCCCTCTGCTGTGATCCCTGATTTCCCAGCCAGCAGCACCTGGGGCCGGAGCTGGCACTGAGCCATGAGCCCATAGGAAGGAGATGAGGGCGCTGGGTCCCCTGTGACCAAGGGGTGCTGGGAGACAGCACTCCGAGCCCCCCCCGAGGGCCAGAGTGATCCCCTTGGGGCTGAGCCCCCCCGGGTCCCCCCTGCTGCCCTCAGCCCCGTTCCCTCCATGTCCCTTGGGGCTGTTGGGCAGTGCTTGGTGGAGTCTGCGCCCGAGGGTCACTGTCCCTGTGCAGAACTGGGGGGCTGTGGCTGTGCCCCAAGGCAAGTGGCACCTCCCTGCTCCCCACCTATTTATTTCCGTCCGGTGTCGCGGGGCAGGGCCGGGTTGGGGTTCCAGAGCGGTTCCTCTGTTCCCCCTGTTTTGTTTCGGTGTTGAATAAAGAGATGTTACGACGAGGCGCCGGCGCCAGCGTGTCTGCTCTGTACATGCTGCCCATGGACATGGCCCCAGCACTCCCACCCTCTGGGAAAGCTGTGGGATGCCCCCAGGGACATGGAGTCACGCAGGGAGGTGGCCTTGGGGCACAGCAATTTAGGAAAAGGAGAAGAGCCTGGGGTGTGTGGGCTGTGCCACTGCTCTAGGGTATGTACTGGTAACCTCCTCCAGCCCTCTTCCTACCTCTCTCCAACTTTTTTTTCCTCATTTACCTCTAACAGCAAATTTTCAGTGATCAGGGGCTGTGACTGGTTTTACTTGAGTTTATCTTGTCATAGCACGACTGGAGGTTTATAGAGATAGCAGGAACAAGCCGTTATTCTATATAAAATATTCCCGACGCTGACATGATGAGAGGAAACACTGGTTTGAGGTGATAGCAGCAGCCTGGAGAAGTGACAACAGTGTGGCACAGAGGAGAACAGGCAGGAAGGGGTTGGAGCTGGGGCCGAGGCTGTGTGGCCACCATAAAGTATAAAAACGTCAAATAAGGGATACAAGTTGGCAGGGAGCAGCGGGCCCGTGTCACCCACGTGTCCCTGGTGTGACAATGAGCAGAGTCTAGAGCCCAGCAAAGAGCTTCAGCCGTGTGCTGCGACGCTTTACGCTGCCACTTAAGTGCCTGGCTGTGTCCCTGGGCCACGGCGAGCTCCAGGGCCACTTCCACTGACTTCAAATAAGTAAAATCTGTATTAAACATTAATAAACATCCATGACCATTCCACATGTGGAATATCTAAAGGAACCTGTCCCAAGAGCGCTGGGCTCTCCGCTGCGGCCGTGGGCTCTACTGGGAGAAGATGCCCTTGAAGCGGATCTTGTCCTCGGCGTCCTTCTCCCGCAGCCGCGCTTCCAGGCTCCGCAGCTCCTTGGACACCACGGGGCGCAGTGAGGGGTCGAGGGACAGCACCTTGGCGAAGTCAGCCTGTGCCTCTGCCACGTTCCACACGGCTGCGTGGGCCTTGCCCCGCTTGAAGTAGGCCTTGACGTTGTCTGGGGGACAGAGCCGGGGCTCAGCTGAGCGCCAGCATCTCCCCGCGCCCGCTGCAGCTGCCTGGGATGGACCCTGGCTCCTTACCCTCGTACTTGTTGAGGATGGAGGAGCAGTGATCCAGCACCTCGTAGTACTCCTCGCTCTGCAGCTTGCACTGGCAGTAGTTCAAGAGCAGGGGTGTGATCTTCTGGTCGAGCTCGATCCAGTCCGGAGAGCCCGGCTGCTCCTGCGGGGTGAGAGAGAGCAGAGAGAGTGAGGGGCAGCTCTGAAGCCCTGCATTCCAGTGGCCATGCCTGTGTGCATCCGGGGGGCCCCACCTTCATCTGCAGGTTCTTGAGACAGGCGATGGCATCGTAGTATTTGGCAGCTGCCTCGGGCACTTTGCCCTGCCGGTACAGCTCGTTGCCTTCCTTGTGGATCAGGGGCACAGCCTGGAGCTTCTCCTCATCCGTCATGGCCCACGGGTCCTGCTGGTAGGAGCCGGGTGGCTCCACCTGCCAGCACCCCATCATGGAATCAGAGAATAGGATCATGGAATCATTTAGTTAGAAAAGCTCTCTAAGACCATGGAGTCCAACCATTAATCCAGCACTGCCCAGGCCGCCACTAAACCACGTCCCCATGTGCCATATCTGTGTGTTTTTTGGACACTTCTAGGGATGGTAACTCCACCACTGCCCTGGGCAGCCTGTGCTAGGGCTGGACAACCCCTTCCATGAAGGAATTCCCCCAATATCCAACCTGAACCGCCCCTGGCACAACTTGAGGTTGTCTCCCCTTGTTCTCTGGGGGCAGAGCCTGATCCCCACCTAGCTCCACCCTCCTGTCAGGGAATTGTGGGGAGCAAGAAGGTTCCCCCTGAGCCTCTTTTTCTCCAGGCTGAGCCCCTCCTGGTGCTCCAGACCCTTCTCCATCAGGGCAGAGCCCCAGTGCCCACAGCCCCCACCTGGGCAGGGGTGCTGGTGGCCGGCATGAGCAGGTCCCTCACCTTGAGCACCTCGATGTCAAAGATGAGGGGCTGGGGGTTCTTCTGGAGCTCGTCGAGGTCGGGGTACCCCAGGGAGTAGTGCTCATGCATCTGGGCAATGCTGCAGCAGTGCCGCTGGCCCTCCAGCGGGTCCTTCCCCGCTGCGATGTTCCGCAAGCTCTTGGACACCAGCGGGTAGAGCACCACGTGCTGCGGGAGGGGAGGGAGCCGGGATGTGGGGAGGGAAGGCGAACACAGGGGTGCTCCAGCCTCGCCACCCCGGGTGGGGCGCAGCGGGCCGGCCGGAAGCCCCGCCCCTAAGCGGCAAGCCACGCCCCTCTGTGCAGGCCCCGCCCACCTTGGTGTCGCAGCGGAAGCGCGCACGCTCCCCCGGCCGCATGGTCCGCAGCACCGCCTCCCACACCGGCAGCTTGAACTTCTTCCCGGCGATCAGCTCCATGGGCTTCCCCCGCGCTCGGCTGTCGTCCAGCGGCGTCTCCTCATCGTCGCACCGCAGCGTTCGGTAATGGAAGGTGGCCTGAAGTGGCAGGAGGAGCCCGCGGCATCACCATGGCAACACAGAAGGGAGGGGGGCAGCGCATGCGCGCTTCGCCCCCGCGTTCTGCTGCTCCCGTCGCCCCCCCCCCCCCCCCCCCGCCCGTCCAGCCGCGGCCCTGACCTTGGTGCCGTCGCGGAAGTCCGGCAGCGGCCCGGTGCCCTCCCGCAGCACCTCCTTGTGCACGCCGTCCGCCCGCAGCTGCTCGACCTGCTGCGCCATCGCGTCCCCTCCGCCTGCGCCGCCCGCCCCGGCTCGGCCGCCTCCGCCTTCGATCGGCTCTTTCCGGAGCTGCGCGGCCGCGCGCGGCGCCCCCTGTCGGCCCGGCGGGGGCGCTGCGAGGCGGGGGCGTGGTCACGGGCGGGGGGCGTGGCCATGACGGGGGTTCCCGCCCACCCCATCCCAGGTCCCATTCCAGCGCTTGTGACGGACACTGTGCCGTGTCCTTGGAAGGGTGGGGGGGGAGGCGCTGACGGTGTCCCCGGGAACCACTGCCGGCGTCCCCGCCCGCCGCAGGGAGACCGCAGCCGTGCCGGCCCGGCCGGGTCTCCGTGCGGGCGGGAGGGCCGGGCAGCTGTGGCAGGTCCCTGCGACACCAGGGGGACACTCCAGGGCTCTCCAGGGTTGGGATTAGCCCCACAAGCCACGGTGGGGTGACACGGGGGCGCTGGCAGGCGGCAGGTGCCCGGTCCCACGCGGGGCTGGCGGCACGTGGCGGTGGCTGCGCCGCCGCAGGTGTGACCCCGCCGGGAACACGCTGTTCCCCCGGCACTGGCGCTGCTCGGCGCTGCTGGAGCGGCGGCTCAGCCACGTCCTCACCATCATGCAAAAGCGAGACCCCGCGGGAGCTGCTGCTCCCCCCTCCCGCACGCCTTGTTTGCGGTGGTGCTCGGTGCCGGCTCACCCAGGCGGGAGCCCCAGCGCCGAGCGGGCTCTGTGCCCCCCCGTGCCTTGCCCGTGCCCAGGTGCCGGCGCGCAGAGCGGCGGCGTTATCGGTGCCGGCGCAGGTGGCAGGAGCCGCGTGCGGTCGGTGCCGACGCCGCGTCCCCGGCGGGCGGTGACCGCCTCCTTCCTGCCCCGGCGGCGAGGCGAGCGCGGGGGCACAGCTGCGGCAGCCCCGCCATGTGCCACCGCCCGCGCGAGGCACCGGGACCCGCCGCCCCCGCGGGGAGCCGGGGGCTGCTCCCACCGCCCGGGGAGGGGGCACCCTGGGATGGGGCCCTGGGGCTCTGCCTCGTGCCGCTCCTCAGGGCGGTCCCGTGGAGGCTCCGGCGGGATTGGGGCGAATCCTGTCAGCGCAGGGATGGCTCTTGCCAGACTCCAGCGGCAGAGTTGGACCCACGGGGGGAAACAGGAGGGGCCCCCTCGGCCCAGGTGCTGGGGGGGGGGCGGCTCCCCCCGGGGACATCTGTGTGCCGGCCCACTGTGGCGAGGTGTGTGACGCCAGAAGCGGAGCCGAGCCTCATATTTGGGCACGAAGCAGGTTATTGGAGGCCGTGGCCCCGCAGCCGGGCGATCCCCCGGCTGATAAAGGCTCCCCTGGCGCTGCTGATACATCATCCCCTGCCTGCGGTGGGGGTGCGGGACGCTGGGATGGGGCCGGTCGGGGCACTGGGGCTGCTGCTGTGCCTGCAGCTGTGTGGGGGTGAGTGGCGGGGTGGTGGGAGTGGGGACCCACTGGTGCTGGGCCCGGCTCAGGACCCTCCGTGCCGCAGGGTCCGGGCAGCTGCGGCTGGTGGGGGGCGGCGGGCGCTGTGCCGGACGCGTGGAGGTGAATCACGACGGTGAGTGGGGCTCCGTCTGCGTCTACGACTTCGACTGGGAAGCCCTCTGGGCCACCGTGGTGTGCCGGCAGCTGGGCTGTGGCCGCGTGGCCTCGGCGTCCCCGTACACCCTGTTCGGGCAGGGCAGCGGCCGGATCTGGCTCCAGCCCTTCTTCTGCCGCGGCACCGAGGAGGTGCTGGAGGAGTGTCCGCACTTCGGATGGGGCCAGCACTACTGCGGCCACGAGCGGGACGTGGGGGTGATCTGCACAGGTGAGGGGGACAGGCTGGCCGTGCCAGGGCACCCACCTCGTGCCGGGGTGTGCCGGGCAGAACTGAGCTGTGCCGGTGTCCCGGTGCAGAGGCCGTGGAGCTGAGGCTGGTGGGCGGCAGCGGTCCCTGCGCCGGGAGGGTGGAGGTGAAGCTGCGGGGACACTGGGGCTCGGTGGAAGATTACAACTGGAACATGGAGGATGCCGAGGTGGTGTGCCAGCAGCTGGGCTGTGGCTCGGCTGCCGGCGCCTACGCTGCCCGCGACCGCTTTGGCACTGGGTCTGGGCCCATCAACCTGGCCGTGGTGGACTGCAAGGGGGACGAGGCCACACTCTGGGACTGCAGGATCCGCGGCTGGGGACCCTACAACGGTATCCATGAGTTCGACACTGCTGTCATCTGCCAAGGTAGGAGCCGGGCTGGGAGGGACGTGGCGTTCCTGGCACATCCCTCAGTGCCAACTCTGCACCGCTCCCGCAGGGTTTTCCCGGCTGGTCGGGGGGGACAGAGCCTGTGCCGGGCGGTTGGAGGTGCGGCAGCACCGGGCCTGGGTTGGCGTCTGCGCGGAGCACATGGACATGAAGATGGCCCAGGTGGTGTGCCGGGAGCTGGGCTGCGGCGTGGCACTGGCCATCCCTGGCAGCGGCCGGTTTGGGGCGGGAACGGGGCCGCTGTGGGAGGGGGGGTTCAACTGCACCGGCACCGAGCCCCTCCTCAGTGCCTGCGCCCGGCGGGTGCCCCACAGCCCGGACTGCGCTGGCCACGCCACCATCATCTGCTCCTGTAAGCAGCGGGGACACTGGGGGGTGTTGGGGGTCCCCCCACCATCACCCCCCTGAACGCCCTTTCTGCCACAGCCTACACGGGCTTCCGGCTGGGGAACAGCAGCTCGGGCTGTGCCGGGCGGGTGGAGGTGGCGGTGAGGGGCACGTGGGGGTCTGTCTGTGCCACCAACTGGGACCTGCCCGATGCCGACGTCCTGTGCCGCCACCTGGGCTGTGGCCACGCCGTCACCGTGCCCCCGGGAGGCTCCTTCGGCAGCGGGGACGGGCCGCTGAGGCCGGACGCCTTCGGCTGCAGCGGGAGCGAGCGGCACCCGGGCGAGTGCCCCGTGGCGGTGCTGGGGAAGCCCCCCTGCACCCCGGGGAATGCTGCCGCTGTCAACTGCTCAGGTCTGTGTGGCACCTGTGGGAAGAGCCTCCAAGGGCTTTTGGGACACCCCAAGAATCGGGAGCGGAGCACTCAGGGCTGTTTTGGGGTGAGGGGAACACTGAGCCAGGTCATTTTACAGGCATCGTCAGTTCCCTGCGGCTAGTGGAGGGTGAGAGCCGGTGCGACGGGTGGCTGGAGTTGGCCATAAGCCCTGGGGTCTGGCGCCGTGTGCCAGGAGAGGTTTTGCCTGAAGGGAATTTCAGTGTGGTGTGTGGGAAGCTGGGCTGCGGTGGGCTGGACAAGAGCGATGCTGTCGTTGGTACAGTCCCCGTGTGGAACATGAGCGATTCGGAGCAGAATATTACAATAGAAGTGGTCCGCACTGTCTGGAAGATGACCGACCAGGAGATGTATGTCTGGCTGAACGACTTTATAGTCTGGGACATGACCACTGGGCCAACCAGCATCCCTCATGGGGCAGCCATCGTCTGCTCAGGTGGGTGTCCCGAGGAGGGCCGGGGTGCTGGTGCCCCGAGCAGCCCCCAGCCCGGTCCTTCCGTGCCCGCAGGCAGCCGGCGGGTGAGGCTGGCGGGTGGTGCCGGGCGCTGCGCCGGGCGCGTGGAGGTCTATGCCGGTGGCACCTGGAGCAGCGTGTGCCAGGAGCGCTGGGACCTGCAGGCGGCCGCCGTTGTGTGCCGGGAGCTGGGCTGTGGCGCGGCACTGGAGGCACCCGGCTCGGCGCGCTTCGGCCCCGGCGCGGGGACCCCGTGGCCGTACGTCGTTGAGTGCGCCGGGAGCGAGGAGTCTCTCTGGGAATGCCCACGCTCGGAACGGCGCAAGTGCGAGCGCGGGGCCGGGGCCGTCTGCTCAGGTCAGTGTCGGGTGTCCCCGGGGCGGGGAGCAGCAGAGCCCCCCGGGGGGTTCCTGGCCGTGCCGTGACCCCCCTGCTCCCCTCGCAGAGCAGCTCTCCCTGCGGCTGGCGGGCGGGCGCGGGCGCTGCAGCGGGTACCTGGAGCTGCTCCACAACGGCACCTGGGGCCGCGTGTGCGCCACCGGCACCAGCCCCGGCACCGCCGCCGCCGTCTGCCGGCAGCTGGGCTGTGGGGACGGGGGGCAGCTGGCACCCGCCCCCGCCCAGCAGCCGGCCCCCGCCTGGCTGGCCTGGGTGGGCTGCGAGGAGGGGGCCCGCTCGCTCTGGGGGTGCCCCTCGGCACCCTGGCACCTGCAGGCCTGCGGCCCCGGAGGGGACGCCTACGTGGCTTGTGTGGAGGACAGTGACAACCCCAGCGAGACAGCCACCACCCCGTGCCCGGACGGGGCCACCTGCACAGGTAGCTCTGCCCGTGCCAGCAGCCCCCCTGCCGGGCCGGCTGGGATCCCCCACCCCTCACTGCCTGGCCGTGTCCCCACAGCCGTCCCCAGCAGCAGCGGCCCTGCGGTGGCCGGGGGGACTGTGCCGGTGCCAAGCGCGCAGGTGGCCGGGGGGACTGTGCCGGTGCCAGTGGTCCTGTGCGTGGTCCTGGGGACGCTGCTGTGCCTGGCCCTGGGCGCCCTGGCCGTGCTGATGTGCCGTGTCCGTGCTTGGCGCCGAGGTGGGTCCCGGCGGGTGGGTGCCGTGTCCGAGCCGCTTTGGGGGTTCAGGGTCTTCCCCCGTGTGGAACGGCTCGGAGGGTGGGCAGTGGGTGACCCCGGTGCCACCCACGGTGCCCACGGCCCTGGGAGAGCGCTACCTCTTGTTCCAGGCCCCGGCAGAGCCGTGGGTGCCATCCCCGATGCCATCTACGAGGAGCTGGACTACAGCGCGATGCCGGAGTACCAGGAGGTGCCCAGTCGCCCAGGTCGGTGCAGCCCCCGTGCCCCAGCTCTGCCCGGACAGGGGGGCTCTGCCCCACAGTCCCACCGCAGCAGCGGGTCCTGGTGGCGCAGCACTGGCTCCTCCCCGTGGTGTGGGGGGGCCTCTCGGTCCCATCACAGCCGTGCTCTGTGGTTGAGGTTGTGTCACCCGCGGTGCCACCTCTGGCCACCCCCAACACCCTGTTTTCCCCCTCCAGGTTCCTCGCAGGAGGGCTCAGTGAAGAAGCTGCTGTATTACACCGGGAACAGCGTGGAGGGGAGTGACACCAGGGCAGCCCCAGGTAGGGGCACAGGGCAGGAACCCAGTGGGGAGCGCTGGGGAGAGGGGACACGCCAGGGCTGGGGAGCTGAGGGGACACGTCCCCCCTCGTTAGTGGGCAGAGAAGCATCACCTTTCTCTGAGGGACCAAGGGCTACCAACACATCCCTGGTGGCACGGCCAGAGGGGGATGGCACAGCTGGAGGGGGATGGCACAGCCAGTCCCTGCCATGGCCACCGGGTCAGTGCCATGTACCCCCGTGCCAGTCCCAGCCCCCCCTGCCCTGCCCGGGCACGGAATCCCGGATGGCTACGACGATGCCATGGCTGGAACCCCGGATGGCTACGACGATGCCACGGCCGTGCCAGAGGAGTCCCCTGCTTCCAGCACTGGGGACATTTCCGAGGGGGTGGCACGAAGGGGCTGGATCTGTGTCCCACCCACAGGTAAGAGGAACCACAGCTGCCCTGTCCCCCTTGGAGAGCCACTCCACGGGGGGTTTGGCTGCGGTGGTGGGCTGGGATCCAGCAGATCCACGGGGGCTGCAGAAACACCCCAGGCGGGGTCTGGAGGGGGTACACGGAGCTGTTCCCCTCAGGCACCTGCCTTTGCTGTCCCCAAGGTGGGAGCTGCCCCCTTCCAAGTCCCCCCGGAGCTACAAGGGACCCCCCGGGACAGCCCCCGGGACACATGGACTATGATGATGTCGGCACCGGCACCCTGCGGATGTCGCAGTGAGGATGCCCCGGCCACGCCCCATCCCTGGGGACACGTGTGCAGGGTGGGGGGGCTCTGTGTCATCATCTTTGATAATGTCATTTGGGGCACTCCGTTGTCACTGGAGGCTGATGTTGCAGCGGAGAAAATGAGTGGGGAATCAAGAGGGTCAGGTGGGTTCCCCCAAAAGGGAGGGGACCAAAATGCCCAAAATTGCCTAAAAATTCATAGGGAGGGATGGTGTGTCTCTGTAAAATACTAAAGCCTTTTAAATTTGTTATTTTTAAATATATTGACAAGTAATACTAATTCATATAAAAGCTCATTTCAAAACAAATCCTCGTATCTGCTATATTATATGTGGGATTTTAGGATATAATAAATTCCAAATGTGGATCCATAGGGTTTGAAAATTCAAATAAAACTTTTGTATGAATAAGTTAAACACTGAAGGGCTGGAAAATGTGAGGCAGGCACTCGCTGTGCAGCAGCAGGGGCAGCTCGGTGTGTCGGGGTTTGTTCCTGTCACCTCAGGGTGGTGGCACCGAGCGGGGAAGGAGCAGCCGGGCCGGGCTGGGGCCGGGCGGGTTCCCGGGGCACCCGGGACTTGTGGTCTCCCGTCTCTCCCGGGGGGGTAAAATGAACAGTTTGAGTTAAAAACGAGGCAATTAGTGAGGGACATTCTGGGGGGGAAATCGAGGAAGGGACAGTTCTGGGGTAAAACCTGAGCTGGGCAGGGGAGGTTTGGGGGTCAAACCTGAGTTCCTGTGCAGGGGACAGAAGGAACGTTTGTGAGGGAAAAGCAGAGGAAAATTGGGAGGGGGAGCAGAGGGGTGACATTTTCCACAGAAGTGCTGAGGTAATTTGGATGAAAGAAATCACCTTTTTTGTGGGGTGAATCCGGGGGTACCTTAGCGAGGAAAAAGGAGCCTTTCTGAGAGAAGGGCTGGGAGCTCAGAGAAGATCGAGGCAGCATTTTGGACAGAAAACCTGGGGTTCCTTAGAGGGGACAGAGGTGACCCTTTTAGCTGAAAACCAGGGGTAATTTAGAGGGGACACAACCACTGTTTTATGCAGGAAAGTGGGAGGTGATGTAGAGGGGAGAGAGGTGGCGTTTTGGAGGGAATGGCTGAAGTGGTTGGTGATAGCTGAGGTCGACTGCCAGCTGCACACTGAGCCTGGGGCCTGAATCCTTTCCAGTCAGCAGGAGCTGTTCCCAAATGCAATCCCCTGGCTCATAACTTGGTAAGATTGTGATCCTCCAACCCAACCCCCAGGTATTGATGGAACCATTGCCTTAGGTGTGTTTAGTTTGTGTCTGTGAGAGCTGGGATTTTGACTAGAGAGCTGTTGTTGGGAACAAAGGATGGAGTAAATCTATTCCATGGGTGTGTAAGGAAGGACTGAGTAGCAGGGAAGGGGAGGATTTATAAACTATATCAATATTTGACCCAAATTTGGGGTGAAGCAGTGATGGGGGTGGTTGGGTTTGGTCTGGGCTGGTCAGGATCAGCCATAAACAACCCACCAGACCCATGAACCCTCAATGGACACGTCCAGCCCTTCAGCAGAAACCCAAGTCAGTAATTACTACAGAGGTGAAATTATTGAAAAAATATGGGGAAAAAAGGAACTTCTGTTCTGCATGGCAAACCTTCTGTTACTCCTTGTGCAGTCTCTACATGCTGTTCTAGGAGTTACTGTCCAGGATCTTTCTAACAAAACCTGTTAGAAATTTAGATGTAGGATTTGAATTTGGGTCAGTTCCCCACAAAACTCCTGCAAAGCCTGAAGGACTGGGGTGGTGACTGCTCTCAGTGAAGGTTGTTTATTAATATTCTGTCCGATTTCCCTCAGCTCTGGGCAGGAAAGGCAAGGCTTTGGGTCAGGAATTGTACAAGCAAGGCCTGTGTGCCCGTGGGTGTCTCGTGTGTGTGGCAGGGCTGGGACAAGGACTCGTGCAGGGACTGAGCTGGCACTGGAGCTGCTGCCATTCTGAGCCATTTCCAAGGTGCACAATGAAGGAGGACAATGTCCAGGGATGCTGAAGAGGGGGATCAGCTGAGCTGGGCAGGAACAAACACGGAGCTGCAGAGATTTGGGTGCTGCTGGGAACGTGTTGCCTTCCAGCCGAGCATCCATGCCCGGCATTCCATCCCCCCTCCGGAGGTGGTTCTGGCTCTGGGGGGGGCAGCAGAATCCATGGGGATGGAGGGAAGCACCCCCAGGGCCATCTCCCATCCGTGGTGCCCAGTATCCCGAGGGCTGTGCTGAGGATGGAGCAAGGAGAGGAGCATCGTGCTCCCTCCATCCCTCTGGGTGCTTTCCCACAGCCCGGAGCCTCCCGGCTCACACACGGCTCACACGGTTCCCTTTAAAAAGGGAGGCACTGGAATGTTAGGGGTTTTTTCCTTCAATCTTTCGAGGTAGTGCTCTGAATGAATTTATTTCTGTCTTGCTCCCAGTGGTGCATTCCCCAGCAGTCCCACGGCAGCTCTTGGGCAGCGCAGCTGCCAGAGGTCCCTCCGGACTGTGCGACGGGCAAAAACTCCAAATAAAAGCACGTATACAGATTCTGAGACTGTTATAAAGACAAGTGATGGGACGTAGAAATAATGTCTCTGTTTTGGATCATGGTTGGTTTTTCTAAAATTATTTCCCACTACTTATTGTTTATTCTCCCCTTTCTATATGTTAAAGCAATTCCCCAGTGAGGGAAGAGTGAAACATGAAGCTAATCCCGTGTGCTTTCATGATGTGTTTCATGATGTTCATGATGTTTGTTGAACTGCACGTTTAAATACAAGCATTTTAGTAAGAAATCTGTCTTGGAGTTATGGCATACAGGCAGTGAGCCGAGAAACTTTTCTACTGGCCTTAATGTTCATCTTTATTTTGCATTCCTAGCGATCATATAAGAAAATTGTTCTTACAAATGTAAAAATGTCTTTCCAGGTGTGCTAGAGCAGGCCTGGCAAGCAGACTTTGCAGCTCGCGTGGTGATGCCTAAAAAGCCAGGTAGGTGGAGCTGTTATATCATGAAACCTTGAGTTCAGCCTTTTCGAGGAATTAGGTGTTAGTTTTTAATTAATACTTTGCGCAGAATTCTGTTAGTTATGTTTTGGAGGCTAATGCTGCTTATAAACCTGGGGCATGTATAAAGGTGAGGAAGTACAAAGTAGAGGGTTTGATTTGGACTTCTGAGTAGTTTGGATTAAACAACATCCTCACACGAACTTTTTTAAACAAAAGCCATCAGGATATGCTGGGGTTGCTCCTGCTCCTCCTCTGCTTCTGGCTCTGACTCGGTGGCACACAAGCAGGATGACCTTCAATGACATGCCTTAAATCTAAGGAAGATAAGTAAAAAAATAAATCACTGTGGTTGGTTCAGTCCTGTTGCGTGAGGGTAAAGCACTGCTCCCAGGTCTGTGAGGTGTAAAAGATGTGCTTCTGCAGGAACTCTGATTATACAGAGCAGAGAGGGGAAAGACTCTCTGGATCAGGATTATTTCCTGATGATGTAGTTGCTTTAAGTAATGTGCAGGATGAAGAGATAGCCCACAGGTGTCCTCAGAGGCAAACACTGGAATCAGGTCAAGGATGTTGCTGGTCTGCTGCCGTTTCTTTCCAAGCTGCTTAATGGCACTCATTAGGTTGGCTGGGCTGACTGTCAAGGGGGAAGTAGAATTGTCAAAGAGGGTATTTGTTTCCTCTTTTAGCAAGGGGAAGAAAAAAGGAAAATCCATGCGGTGGAGGTGGGGTTGATATTCAAGGCATTATGCTGTGATAAGGGAAAATGGATATGACAGTGCAAGCCCCATGGGTGCTCCCAAAATCCCTGCAGCTGGAAAGAGCAGGCAGACTTATTTTCTGACCAAATAACATGATGGGATGCAGTTTCCAGTTGCCCGAGTCCATAAAACAGAGTATTTAGGAGCTGCAGGGTTTTTAAGAGGAGCAGCTTTGATAACTTTTCTAACTTACCACACAATTCCATAGCAAATAACCAAGGAAGAATTTAAAATTCTCATCCCTGACAGTTCTGAGACACAGGTCAGGCAAACCTGCTGGCACAGACTGGGTGTATTTATTTAATCCTGTCTCAGCGCTGAGAAATTGTCTCTCTTTTGAGGCCCAAGTCAATTGTAGCTTTCTTTTATTATAACTGCTGTTATCTCTCAAGGGAATTAGGAGCATCTCCTTTTTTCTTCAAGGTAAGAGCAGATTTTGCATTAAAAAAAATGCAAACCCCTCCCTACTACCAGAATTGGGCTGTAAAAGATTTTTTTGTTTGCTTGCTTTTATACTCCCACGGTGAATAAACTGATTTCCAGAAAATTTCTCAGCATACTTATTCAATGCCTCTCACCCATTTTTTGAAAAAAACCCCAAACCTAAAATTCCCATTTTCAGCAAAGAAAAGACAGTTTCTGTGTTTTCTTTTGTGAATGAATTGATCTCTCCATGTCTCTTTTGTCAGCTATTACCTCTCTGTTGCTGTAACATCTAGCACAAGAAAGAAGTGCTTTGGTGAGGAAACCATTTGTAAAGAAACCAAGGATCCTAAGAGAAAACTGTCCCTGACAAAAGGGCCTATAAGAAACGTCAAATTATTGGGGGTTGAGAGAGAAAATTAGAAGCAGAGTGTGGGAAAAGTAAATAAGTACTGAAAAGAGAGTGAACTCCGGCATGAATAGGTTGTATACAGATAAAAGATCTGGCCAAGTAACAACAACAACAAGCAATAAGTTGTTAACAGATGCTTGAACTTCATATTGAAACAGCAGAAGTGTTGATATAATTCTGTTGATATAGCTCTGTTGTGTTATTGTTGGCAGAAGAAGTTAGTTTAACTTTAGGGGAAGGGTAAATTGTAGACTCTTGTTTATTTTCTCCGGCTAAAAACCTCTGACTTGACTTTTTACCTATTTTTGTAGTGAATTTTCATCATACCATGTAAGTATGAAATCATTCAGACAAACATTTCACATGTCAATAAAGCTGTGTGTATATATTAGCCCGGCACATTTCATTCCTCTAAACCATATTTATCACTTAAGCTCTGCAACATCAATTTTGCACTTGGAAAAACAGAGGAGCAGAGAAAACAGAAAGCCAGGGTTGTTTGCAGAGGAATGTTGTTGTGAAATAAGCCAGGGAGGAAATAAAAAAACTCCCCAAATAGCGGTGAATGATCATTAGATCTCTTTTGAGGCCTTTTCTATTTCTATTTCCATTCAATTCAGTCCCTGCTCTGTGACTGGCTGAGAGCGAAGCAAAGGAAGTTAAGATCCAAACTGGAAGTTGCTATTCATCCAGGGAAATAATCCAGCAGTTTTGATTACCAGTCTTGATAACTAATGCTAATTAATTTCTCAAGAGTGTATAAATTTGGTCTCCTTATTTTCCTGAGCCTCTGTACTGCCAGTTCCTAAGCCCAATAAAACCATGAAAATGTAAATGCTTGCCACATTGAAGTTTATTTTCTGCAAACTGAGGTGTTTTT